CGGCGAATGCTATAAACACGACGGTGGCTTCTTATCCCTCTTCGTCAGCAGCATCACCGCATCTTCCCACGCAGCAGCACCCGCATCACGCGCACCACTCCCACCACCAGGCTCAGACTTCGGCAGCTCCTCCCCACACGCTGCCGCCGCTCCAGCCAAGCAACCCTGTTATGCAACAGAGCCCGTACGGGAGCTATCCTCACACGCCCAGGACTCCAGCGACCCCCAACACCCCGAGCTCCACGGGCACGATGGCAAGCTACCCGCCCCCGCCTCCGCAGAATGCGGGCCGTGGGAACGCTTATCCCATGATGGGCAACAACACGTACCAGCAGCAGCCCTACCCTGGTGCCTCGTCGAGCATGATGCCGCAGACTACTACGGCGGCCTCGCATCCCCAGCCGATTGCCCCGGCCCCAGCCACCGCCGGTAACCGCGCCCCGCCCGTGCTCCGCCCGATGCCCGCTGGCGGCGTCATGTCCCAGCCCGGAATGGCCTCGACATACAACCAGAGCCCGCTGATACCGCAGAATTCTTTGATCCAGGAGGGTGACCCACCGACGCACGTGGTCGGCTCGCAGGGTCGGAGAGGGATCTTGCCTAGTGCTCCAGGTAGACCTGCCGCGCCTGCTCCTGGATCCGCCCAGGCCAAGAACCAGATTCCCCAGAAGGACGCCGATGGAAAGTTTCCCTGCCCTCACTGCACCAAGACTTATTTGCATGCCAAGCACTTGAAGCGCCACCTTCTGAGACGTAAGTCTTGCGCGAATCCCCCCTCTTGTCTCATTTGGGAGCTGGACTTTTAACCCCTGATAGATACCGGTGACCGCCCCTACATGTGTGTCTTGTGCCACGACACCTTCTCCCGCAGTGATATCCTCAAGCGTCACTTTATTAAGTGCTCTGTCCGCCGAGGCAACCCGACCGGGGCTAGCCACCTCTCGCACCCCCAGGCGCACGTCAAGAAGAATGCCGCTGCCCAGCAGAAGGCGCTGGGCACCGAAGGCGATGTTAACCATATCAGCGGTATGGGAAACATGCCTGCCGACGGGATGGTCCATCCGTTTGGCATCATTCCCGCCCCCGATGGCATGAGCAACGTGGCCAACGACCAAAGCCAGCTCTCAAGATCTAACAGCATCAACCGAATCGCCGACGACGCGAACCGTGATAGGAGAAGCATGACCGCGTCAGTGATGGGCGGGTCGACGCGTCCTGCCAGTTTCGAGCAGCCCTATAACAGCGGTGAGGTCGCAAACAACATGACGGCAAACATCAACCCGTCGCTGGCCAACTACAGCATGCCGCAGAACCAAAACGGGATGCCCATGTTTGGAGGGTCAAACTCGACCGATTGGTCTCAAATGTTCCAGGCTGGTGCGCATTCTACCTACGTCAATTCGATCCCACCTAATACCGGACAGGGACAGATGCAGACCGTAACCAAACCCGAGCCTAGTCACGGCTCCACACGAGCGGCTGGCATTCCTGACGACCATTCCAGCGACTCATCCCTCTTCCCATCGTGGGGAGTACCGTCGTCGTATCCGAACACTTACCATCAGCTCTCCAGCAAGATACTCAACTTTTTACAGTCCTCCCCCGCCGGTGCTAACACGGCCACCTCCAGCTTCGTCGACTTCTACTTCCATTCTGATAATGTCCGCAACTTCCTCGAAAACTATACCAATTTCCATGCCCATGTTTCAATCCTGCACATTCCCACATTCCGCGCCACGGAGACCCATGTTGGCCTTTTGGCAGCCATGTGCTGCGTCGGGGCCTGCTACTCGGACCGGATACCTTCGGATAACATTCGCGATATTATGGACCTCTTAAAGGCTGCCCTCGAAGGCTCGTCTCGCATGTTCGCGTCATTGCTGCACGCTGGCGATCCCGAGGCCGGGTACGAGTGGGCGTCGTTCGGAAGCAACAAGACAGATCTCGAGGAGCTGCAGGCGATCATGCTTACCCAGAACCTCTTTACCTGGCACGGGACTCCACTGCAACGCGACAAGGCACGGAGAACGTTTCCCCTCATTGCGTCGTCCGCTCGCAAGGCTGGTCTGCTCCGTCTCACAACGGAGGGTGCGATGTACAGCATGCTCCACCAGGCTGATTTTACCCTCTCGAACTTCCCAGTTTCCCAGTTTAGCTGGCACGCTTGGGTGGAACAAGAGAAGCGCATCCGGACCATGTACATGATCTTCCTTTATGACGCGGCTCTCGGCCTGTACTTCAACACGGGGCCCGAATTTGATCCCTTTGAGATTCGTCTTCCGTTACCGGCCGACGATGCTGCCTGGGATGCCAACGACATTAATGAATGTGCCCAGGCCCTCGGGTTGCAAGGGCCAGAGGCCGCCAAAATGCGCAACCCTGACGGCGCTCGGAAAAGCAATCAGCCTCAAACCCACCTGGTGCTCAAAGCCCTTCTCGACACCAACTATCGCATCCAACCGGAGTCCACCAATCTGTTCGGCAAATTCATCCTAATCCATGCGCTTCTCGGTATCATGCGGCGGGCTCAACTGGAAGGTGGCTCCGCGATATTGAATCGTTCGAGCACTCCTGTCCCTGCGCATGCATGGTTTGTTGGGGCGCGAAGCAGCCCCACTAGCAGCGGCAGGGCAACTCCAGTCGATCTGGGAGCCAATCTCCTAGACGCGCCAACCGTCAAGGCACTCATGACGGCGCTGGATAAGTTCAAGAACAATTGGGATCACGACATGGCCGCCCAGTTTCCACCTTCTCCGGCCGTCAACCCCCGCAGATATGGTTTTACTAGGGATGGGATCCATTTCTATTGGTTGGCAACGTATCTACTCAAGAGCACGCGGACAACGGACCTGCAGATGGCGCCGGACCAGCGGTTTGCCTACGTCATTCATCTTTTAAAGTCGGTGAAGCAGTGGGTTTTAACAGACGGGGCTTCTCGAGGGGAAGAATTGGGATCCGTTGGTGATATTGATGCCTCTTACGGGGCCAAGGATGTGACGCTCGATATGACACAACTTTTTCGACCACTTTCGACGGTGAGGAAGTCGCCAGGTTTTCCGACTGCTTCGGGGGGGAGCATGCAGAACCAGCAATAATCATAGGGGCATGATGTGACCAGCACACATCCCTTCTGCATCAACGGCGTTTCGACGATTCTTGTTTTGTTTTGTTTTCGTTTGTTTTCGGCGGGGGCCTTTTCGTCATTTTTGTTGTCTCTCGTTCAAACAACGGCGCCTTTTTTTTGGTCTTGAGAGAAAAGTCGTGGCAATCCCCTTGTTGCATCAGATTGGCACGCGGCGGATTGTTTGCTTGCATCATGAGGATGGGTTGCGGCGATAGATTTCCTAGTTCTGCATTAGAGTGCTACTCACATTCGACGACGACAAATAGAGCGAGAAGGCGGTTCATGGGTCTCGTCCTCGGTTCCTGCGGGAAGAATGGCTGGGGAGGTATAGTGGACCATCGCCGGCGATACTGAGCGTTTTCGACTCTATTATACTCTTACTCTGGTTGACCTATTCCTAGTTTTGCGTGGAACGGTCGGCAGCCAGTTGGCAAGACTCGGGGACGTACTTCTCTGGGAGGAGTGATGGTGTTGGAGGGAGATGGCTTTGAAGGAAACAGCGAACCGTTCTACGGGACTCTCACTTGGAGGGCAGTGGGAAAAGAAGGAAGTACGTTTTGGGGCCACGGGATGTACATCACTGTCAAACATTACATACGTTGCGTTGCGGAAGAGCTTGGCCAGGAGGCGCCATTGAGAGGCGAAAATAGTACATACTTACAATTAAACGCTATCGGGGAGCCTTTTTCTAAGTCGGTAAGCATCGTGATTGGTTTCTCGGGTTACTCTTCTGTCCTGACGGGTCGTCGGTCTCGCTCACTTCGGGTATTTGTTTCTTTTCAACATCTTCCGGCTCCCTGCGAGCTACACATCGGTTTGTGAGCCCCCACACCCTAACTCCACGTCCACTCCGTCCCGGGGGTCGTTGGAGAGTTCATCCAATTCCCACGTCGTGCCCCTGCCCTTCCCCACGGCCTAGGGAACCCTCTCTACCGATCGCCAGCACCACACCCCATCCTGCTCCGTCACCACAACATCGTACACACTGGGCCCATCTAAGCCAGATACGTAATGTATGCCCTCTCATCACCCTCGTCCCCTTCCCCAAAAAGAACCAAGCACAATAAAACCAAGCGAGAAACCCCAACCCAACCCAATCCACCCCAGCCAAACTCGCACCCGCCCAACCCAACTCAGCTCATGACCTCCCCCCCCTCTCCCTCTCCACGACGTGGATCTTGGGCGCCAGCTTCTGCAGCTCCGCCTTGTCGGCCTCCGTCGGCGTGTACCCCAGCTTCGACTCCACTTTGTCGCCGAACGTGAGCCCCAGCAGGCCCCAGGCGAGCAGGCCGGCGCCGAAGGCGAGTTTGGTTTTCGGGGGGAGGTTGGTGTATGACCTGGTTTATTGGGGGAGGGGGGGTTAGTGGTTGGTTGGTGGGTTGGAGGTTGGTTTTGGGGGAAGGGGGGGGAGGTGAGGTTGGGGTGGGGTTGGGGATGGGAGGTGGTGGTGGTGTGAGAGGTGGCTTACTTCCAGAGGGACATTGTGGTGGTGTGAGAGGATTATTGTGAGATTGGTTTATTTATTTTTGGGAAACTTTGGACTTGATTCATGGTGAGAATATCATTTGGTGTTGAGGGAGCGCAAAGGCTTGGGAGCTGGCAGCTGTTAGCACCTGGTTCTCTCGACGGATGCGCTCGGGAACGCTTGTCTATCAACGCTCGGACCACCTAAATTTTCAAGTTCGCGGGTCCATTGTTGCGAACCTCTTGCGCTGCCCACCCGATATCGAACATTGCCGGTCTAGCTGCGTTATCTAGGGTACGGGCAGAGCTCAGTCACCATCAATTAGGGAGTGACACCAACGACAACCGTACCGCGGCATTCCCCAGCCCACCGCCAGTCCTCCCGTCAACCCTCCCACCCCTCACCTCCACCATGGCCGCTGCGGCGATGCGGCCCTCGATGGGGGCACTCGGCAGGATATCATCGTCCACACCCTCCCCCCTCCGCCCTCTGACACAGACCGCCTCCCTCTCGACCACCGCCGCCCTTCTGAAACGCCACAAATACCGCGAAGCCCGCGTCTACAGGGACAACAGCAAGCACCGTGGCGAGTCGGCCATCCACCGCAGCGGCACGCGCTGGCGGCTGTCCATGTCGGACGAGCCGCTGCCGCGGCCGGTGCCGCGCAACAAGCTGCCGGCCATCGAGACGGACCCGGACCACGGCCTGTGGGAGTTCTTCCAGAACCGCACCATGGTCGTCAACTCGCCCCCCGAGATCGCCAAGCACGGCCGCAGCTGGACCGCCGAGGAGCTGCGCCACAAGTCGTGGGACGACCTGCACCGCCTGTGGTGGGTGTGCGCCAAGGAGCGCAACCGCATCGCCACGGCCAACTGGGAGCGCAACAAGAGCGGGTTGGGGTTCGGTGAGGCGGAGATGAGGGAGCGGGATAATGCGGTGAGTTTGGGTTTTCTAGGAAGGCCGGGGGGGGGGGGGGGGGGGGAAAGCTTTCTGTGGTTCCCGGGCCCAAGAAAAGGGGAAAAAATGGATTTGTCCACAGATGTGTGTTTTGCTGGGGGCAATAGGTTCGGCAGACTATGCGCTCCATCAAGCACGTCCTGACGGAGCGGTTTTACACGTGGGAGGATGCCGTCAAGGTGGCGGAGAAGGACCCCGAAGTCGACCTAACCGGTAACGGGCCGGCATTTACCCCGAGCAACTTCCTTGAGGACAGCGATGCCGCAGCTACCGAAGGCGAGCAGCAGGCCGCTGAGGCTACGGAGGAGGCAGTAGAGAAGGCGGAGCCCGCGACAGCGGCTACCCCTGAGTCGGCGACGATACCCTCATCTCAGCAACAGACCGACACCCCGAGGTTATGATCATGTTATGGTGAACGAGGTCCGGACCGTACCGCACTCTTCTACGCGGATTTTCTCGGGCTCAATTTGGGCGAGACACGGCGACGGGCGGCCGTGTCTTGGACGAACCACTTGTATGCACTGCATGCACGCATGCATGCTGCCGTCGTTGTGTGGTGGGTGCCGACGGTCGGTATATCTATCCCCTGTACAGATAGTGTATTGGACATTTGTTTGGGCGTTCCCTGGATGGGAATAATGTCTCAGCCAAGGTCCCCCATGTTTAACAATAGCATGGTGAGATGCCAACCGAGATTCTAAACAAAACGAGGAGCGTCACGGCCAATATCAAGCATTAATGAGCCGAGACGAGCCCCCCAGACCGCCTGTCCTAAGCATCGAATCACAGGCGGCCGCTGGCGGATTAGCTCCAAAGAAGCCCCAGAGCGGGGCTCCTCCACCCCTCAGTGATCCCCCCCACCACAGCAACCTCGTGCTTCCCTGGGATCCAGACTCCTATTTACTTGGGAACCTAATAACAAGCCCAACGCATCAAAAACAGAGCCAATCCGGACCTGGTGTTCATCGAGTCCCACAGCCATCTTTCCATCGTTTTTGTCGTCGTCGCTCCTCTTTGACTTCTTCTCTACGTAGGAGCTCCCTTGAATCCACCGCCGATCTTCGCTCCAAAGCTTAGCTCTCTCTCTTTCTAATCCGTTAGCTAGTTAGCAACAAACAACAAACCTCACCATGGCCGACGAGATCGCCCCGGAGTACGATGTCATTGTGCTGGGCACTGGGCTGACTGAGTGCATCCTGTCGGGTGTGCTGAGTGTCAAGGGGAAGAAGGTCCTGCACATTGACCGCAACGACCACTATGGCGGGTGCGTGCATCGCTTCTCCATGATCTCTCCTTGTCTCGATCCAGCCCAAGATGACTAAACTGACATCTTTTTCTCCGACAGTGATGCAGCATCGGTCATCCTCGAGATGGTTTGCCGCCGTCCCAAACCCGACTCGCCCCCCACCTCCCCCTTATACATAGAAGCGGTCTAACCGTGACCTCCGACGCGTCTAGCTCTTCAGAAGTATGGTAACTATGCCCAGGGTACCGAGCCCTGGAAGCAGTACGGCCGCCTGAACGACTGGAACATCGACCTGGTGCCCAAGTTCCTCATGTCTTCGGGCGAGCTCACCAACATCCTCGTCTCGACCGACGTCACACGCTATCTGGAGTTCAAGCAGGTCGCTGGCAGCTACGTCCAACAGGGCGCCGGGTCCAAGGCCACCGTCGCCAAGGTGCCCTCGGACGCTGCCGAGGCCCTCCGCTCGCCCTTGATGGGTATCTTTGAGAAGCGCCGCATGAAGTCCTTCATCGAGTGGGTCGGCTCTTTCGAGCCCAAGGACCCGAGCACGCACAAGGGTATGTTCTCCTTCGTTCAACATAACCTTAATACCGTATGGGCTGACGGAATCGTGTCTTATTTTTTAGGTCTCGACATGAGCACCTGCACAATGAAGGAGGTTTATGACAAGTTTGGCCTCGAGGCCACCACCAAGGATTTCGCCGGTCACGCCATGGCCCTCTACCAGACCGACTCGTACCTCGATGTTAAGGGCGGTGCCCCCGAGGCAATCGAGCGCCTGCGTCTGTACGGTAACAGTGTGGCCCGCTATGGCAAGTCGCCCTACATCTACCCGCTTTACGGTCTGGGTGAACTGCCCCAGGGTTTCGCCCGTCTCAGTGCCATCTACGGCGGCACCTACATGCTCAACACGAGCGTTGAGGAGCTTGTGTACGAAGGTGACAAGGCCGTCGGCATCAAGGCCACCATGCGTGGTGTTGACCCCGAGATGGAGTTCGAGACCAAGGCCAAGACCATCATCGGTGACCCCAGTTACTTCCCCAACAAGGTCCGCGTCGTCGGCCACGTCCTGCGCGCCATCTGCATCCTGAAGCACCCCCTCGCCAGCACCAACGACAGCGACTCGTGCCAGATCATCATCCCGCAGTCGCAGGTCGGCCGCAAGAACGGTACGTCTCTCTTTTGTCCTCACTACCAACAAGCAGCCCTCTAACGCCCCATGGCAGATATCTACATCGCCTGCGTCTCCTCCGCTCACAACGTCTGCCCCAAGGGCTACTGGATCGCCATTGTCTCTACCATCGCCGAGACTACGGCCAACCACCACCTCGAACTAGCCCCCGGTATCGAACGCCTTGGCCGTATCGAGGAGCAGTTCATGGTAAGACTTCCTCTCCCTCTCATCTGGTTCCCAACAATGTCTAACCATACCCACGTGCGAAGGGCCCACCCATCCCGCTCTACGAGCCCCTCGAGGACGGCACCAAGGACAACCTCTTCATCTCCAAGAGCTACGACGCCAGTAGCCACTTCGAGACCACCACCGACGACGTTCAGGATATCTACCGCCGCGTGGCCGGCGAAAAGCTCGTGGTCAAGGGGCTGCGGGAGGGAATCCAGGTTACCAAGGAGGAGTAAGCTGGGCAGAGCTCGAAAACAAAAGGGAGAAGCCGAGGAATGGGATATACTAGGCATAATAACCATGAATATAAGCGAGTGACCCAATCATTTTGTGCTTGTCTTGTCCATTCTGCTACAAGAGGGAGGGTAACATAGGCCGTGAGTCTAGGCTGGTTTATCCCAAGTCCTGCCTTGGTGGGATGAAGTGAATGGAGACGAAGGACAACGAAGTAAACGGGCCAAAAAAAAGTCCATTCATCCCGGAGCGCCAGAGAAACATGACAAGATATATCGACAGCAAAGACCAACGGACACGGGGTAATCTTTCCTTTTCCGCTTCCGCCCCTTTTCCCCCTCCCTCTTTCCCCCTCCCTTTTCCCTTCCCTACTTCGCACTTCTTCACCCACACTTTGCATCCCCATCACGCAAAGTACCCCGGCGCCAGCCACCAAGCACCCTGCATATACTGTGGCTACGTAGCGCTCATACTCCAAGCATCTGTCGTAACGACCGGGTTGGAACCCAGGTAGCCTCGATGCCAATCAACAACCACCTCTCGCCAGCGTACTCCACATACAAGCTGACAGATAACGCTTTAACGGCGAGAAGTCTTGCCAATCGTGCGCTTGCCAGAGAACTATGGAAGGAAAAGGAACACAAGTTAGCTAGCCTGTTCAAAAAGCAGTAGTAAATTAATGGACAGTGAGAACATACCAAGTGCTTCGGCATCGCCGCGCCGATATGCCTGTCGGCCTCGCCCTGGCGCGCCATGCGGTTCATCTTGCGCTGTCCGAGTTTGGCCACGCGTTCGGCCTTGGTGCGCGCTACCTCGTCCACCACACCGTCGTCGCGGCGGTTTGTGGCCATGACGGAGCGGTCGCGGACGCGGCTCTTGGAGCGCAGGCGCTCCTTGGCCGAGGGCCCGTTGTCGACATCCATGGCGTCCGGGTCGACGGTACCGGTGCGGCTGCGCGCGAGTGACCGCCCGCGCGTCTCCTGCACCTCGGCCCGTGCCCGCAGGCCAATCGACTCGGTGTCGACGCCGAGCTGGTCGAGGTGGTCCTCGAGCTGGGAGAAGGGCTTCTTCTGGGCCTTCCGCGGGATCAAGGCCCGGTTCTTGAGCGACTTGCGCATTTGCGCCTCATTGCGGATGAGCTTGTGCTTCTCGCGGATGTATTCGGCCTTCTGCAAGACCTCCTCCTCGGACTCATCGCCAAGGTCCTCGTCAGATTCGTAGAAGCCTTCCTTCTCCAGCCTCTCCTCCTCCTCCTCGAGTGCCGCCAGCTTCGATTCGATATCTGGGTCGACGTAATCGTAGACGTTCTTGCCATCGAGGATTTCTGGGATCCTATCGTGCTTCCACGACGGGTCGGCGAGAATATAATCTTTGCGCAGGTCGACGTTGAAGACACCAGCACCACCATTCGCCTCCTCCTCATCCCTTGCCAGGAGTCTCCTCTCGGGATCGTTTTTGTCGTACTTCTTGAGATTTTTGACGGCATCCGGGATAAACGTCTCTTTTGTGATACCGTCCATCGGCTGGGCAACGTGAATACGAGCCATGACCTCAGTGAGACGAGATCCGAGAGTACCGTTGCTTGCAGTACCGGCCTTGAGCTTCTGGGACACCCGCTCAGCGAGTAGCCGCTCACACACCAGGTTCTTGACATCCTGTACGCCATCCTGCGTAGCGCACGAAGCGCGCAACAGTTCTACGTCGCCCGACTTTGTCAAGTCCTCCAGCTCGGTCTGCATTTCCGGCTCTAGATCCTCAAAGGTCTTGATATCCATCTTGTTCAGAACGACAAACACCATCTTGTTGGCGAAAAGGGGCTTAATGGACTTGAAGAGGTTGCACTGGGCCTTAAGTGAGTAGCCACATTGCTCGCTGCGGATGGTTAGAACCGTATGGCACCCGAAGGGGGTGAGTAACGTACCTGATATCGATGAAGAAGAGGACGGCGGCTCTGAGATGGGCAAGAGCTGTGACACTCTGCATTTCAATCGTGTTCATCTCTTCCAATGGGTGGTCGAGACTGTTGAGGTTAGATTTGATACTCCTAGATCAGGGGAGACTCGAAGGTGCCTGAGTTGCCATCTCGTGACCATTAATGGGCGTAACCTACATTCCGGGGGTGTCTATTACTTGGTACCGAAGATCTACAAAACGAAGGTCAGCCATCAAATGAACTCAAGGGGTTGTGTGTGGAACGTACATTTGTAGTCCAGATGCCCGACGAACTATTGTCCCCTATTGTTAGCATGCCCCGCTGCCGGGGTTTGAGACTGGTACATACCAAACTCTTCGTCGTCTAGTTCATTCATTAGCAACCGTTCCAAGAATCCATACTCGGAGTACAACTTACGAAAGCGTAAGGCTCAACGGGGGTATCCGCGCGAGTTACTGAGCGGACGAAAGAGCTCTTGCCGACGTTCGGGAAACCGGCAACAAGGAGAGTGCGTGTCGTCGGGTTGATATCGGGTAACCTGGCCAAATGCTGGCGAACCTGGTCGAGGTATTGAAGGGGGTCTTTTAACCGCTTGATGAGAGTCGCCATACGACCAAGAGCGGCCCTCTTGAGTTGCTTGCACTGGAACAAACTTTGCGAGTACTACATGAAGGTTAGCCGATTACTCCTGGGGGTTGTCAAGCCCCGGCGTATTGTCTACCTTCAGGAGGCGGACATAGTCCCGGGAAATCGTCTCAATCAGGTGCTTCGCCGTCGAGACCTGGCCAAGGGCCACCTTGAAATGGTCGGCATCTAGCAGGGCCGTCAGTATCCTCCCCTGAACTGTCACACACATTCTCCCAGATGTTCCCCGGGGGCTGGCAAAGCGTACCATAAAGGATGTTCATCAAGTCGCGGTGGAAGGGGTGCTGGTCGGTGAGGATAGGGAAGCTGGCGACGATGGCGCCAAACTTTTCGCTACATGTTTCCTGCGTGAATCTGGATGTCGCAAGTTAGCGCCGGGGTTCGCGAGTGCTTCGTCGGTATCGTGGTGGAGGGCACGGTGGGCTTAAAGAATGCTGGATCGTCTGTCTGGGAATACTGACTTGACCTTGCGGGTGTAGAAGGCTCGGATTCTGCTAACTGTTTGTTATAGCATGTCAGCAGATGCCCGTAACATCAAACAGCACCTCCCATTAGGAACACATACTCTTGAACCCAGCACGGACTTAATTGGTGTTGCGAATTAGCTAATATCCCAATCCTGCGTTGTTCGAGCCAACATACTCTGGGTTGGCAATCGCCTCTGCGTCCGCCTGATATTTTGTCAGCCTCTGTTATCCTCCAAGCGCAAATCAACAAGTAAACTCACGAGAGGATGATATCAATGAATTCCTGTGCCCTGTAGAATAACAAAATTAGTTTTGCCCCAACCATTTACCCAATCCATACAGGTTGGTCCCTTACGTAGGCACAGGCGCGATGTCCTTCCAGGTCATGTCGGGCAACTCGCAGGGTGCTGTCCGGATCTGGCGAGGGTGGTGGTTGGAGGAGGTTACAGATAGGGAGCACCTGGCGGGGCGGTGTCGATATGCCGTCCCCAAAAGTCCCCCGAAATATTTTTTTGCAGAACCGCACGATTTCGACGATAAGATAAGTCGGGCGGTGTGCGCGCTCAAAATCTCCAATCTGCAAGTGGGGCATATCCACCAGTTCCGCACCCCACTATCAACCCCACCAAGAAATTAATTCGCGGTTGGAGGGGTTCTTCAGCTTTGCGGCGGCCCCCGGAGCCGGGAGGCATTAAGACAGCACTGCAGAAGACTCACTCCCATCCGATCCTTACCCACCTACTACTCACGGCCAACACCCTTGAAAAGAAACAAACGAGAAAACCCCGCAATCTCAACCGCCCAAAATGACGGCCCTCGCCCCCTACAAAGCCGAGTTCCTCCGGGCCGCCCTCGAGGGCAACATCCTCAAGTTCGGCAGCTTCGAGCTGAAATCCAAGCGGATCTCCCCCTACTTCTTCAACGCGGGGGACTTCTACCGGGCGGACCTGCTGGAGGCGATCGCGACGGCGTACGCGCGGGCCATCTCGGACGCGCACCGGGCGGGCCAGCTCGAGTTCGACGTGGTGTTCGGCCCGGCCTACAAGGGCATCCCACTGGCGACGGCCGCGACCATCCGTCTCGGCCAGCTGGACCCGGCCGCGTACGGCAAGAGCACTTGCTACTCGTTCGACCGCAAGGAGGCCAAGGACCACGGGGAAGGCGGCAACATCGTGGGCGCGCCGCTCAAGGGGAAGAGGGTGCTGATTGTGGATGATGTGATCACGGCGGGTACGGCGAAGCGGGAGGCTATTGCTAAGATTGAGAAGGAGGGCGGGATCGTGGCCGGGATTGTGGTTGCGCTCGACCGCATGGAGAAGCTGCCTTCGCCGGATGGGGATGATAGCAAGCCGATGCCGAGCGCGATTGGAGAGCTGAGGAAGGAGTACAACCTGCCTATCTTGGCCATTCTTACGCTGGATGATATCATTGAGGGTGTCAAGGGGCTCGCGTCGGAGGAGAATATCAAGCGGACGGAGGAGTACCGGACCAAGTACAAGGCGACAGATTAAATGGGAGGAAGGCGCAAATTTGAGTAAACACTGGCTGTTGATGTGTAAAGACGCTCCGGGGTCGTAACCCCGCCCTGATCCAGAGGGTCAAGCGCTGGGTAATCTGGCACTACCTGCGCCGTCTATCTATTTGGCGCGGCCTAAACAGCCCGTAAAAAACGCATCGATGTAAAATAGAGGCCGCTTCTGGGCATCCTCTCTCGGGCATGACCGCTTCACCGAATCCCTCGGCAACGGGCTGATGGAGCCCCACCAATGCAACCGGCCCAACGAGAGCGGCATTATTCCTCAATTCAGTCGACCACGATCCAATCCAGATCCTCCGGTTCTCGCATTTCCCTCCTCCCTCGTGCCTCCATTTCCCTCTAAGATTTTGGTGGCTTTTTTTCACGACGGGGTAAATCATAGATCTGTTTTAACGGTGAGTCCTGAACCTCGACAGACACGACTCCAGACTCGAGTCAAGGGTAGAGAGAAAGAGGCTTACCATGTCATGCCACCCGCCTCCCCCAAACTGTGCCTTGCTCTCTCCGAGGTGCTTAAACCAAGATCGCTGATAATAGGACATGAGATGCTATGACCTCACTCGTTAGCTCCGCCGGTTCCCTCTCCCCTCAGGTCCATCCCCTCCACCCCCCCAAACACAAGGGAGAACTCACGTCTTGGCAAATCAACGCCACACGATCTACCAGCCCGCAGCACTTCATCTGATCCAGGTAGGCCCTCACGATTGTCTGCCCAATGCCGCAGCGCTGCAGCCGCGGCAGCACGGCGAGCGAGTGCAGACCGACGGTCCGGCCGCCCTCCTGGTGGCCAACGTCCTGACCGGCGGCGCGCCCAGCCTGGCTTCGCCACTCCTCTGGGTACGCCATATCGGCATCAGTGATGATATCCCCCCGGCACCGCGTCGCAATGACGTGGGCGAGCAGCACGCTCACGGCGCCATCGGCGCGGCCCGTCTCGACGGGCTTGGCGTGGGGAAGCGTCTCGAGGCCTAGTTTTGCGGCCCGCTCAGGAATGACGGTGAGGAAGACGCCCAAGCTGAGTTCCGGGCAGACAGTGAGGCGGTAGGCGATCTGTGATCCCCGAGAGCAGATCGTGTTAGTGAGTTGCGGACAGGGGCGGGCGGTGGCGAAGACTTGCCTTTTGGGGCGACGCCCGATGTTCGGGGTTAGGGAACGCCGCATTTTCCAACGCAATACATGCTTCAAGGTCGTTGATTGTCAACGGCCGGATATTGGGCGCGAAGGTTCCGAGAAACGGGAGGGCCTTCTGAAGGCGGACCTCTGGGCTGTCTTTGGCCGCCCTCCTTTTTCGGCTCAGCATCTTTTGACGCGAAGCAAAGTCACCGTCGACGTCTGACGACTCGTCAACAGCCTGGTCTGTCTCCTGGATGGGACAAGGACTCCCTGCCTCCGAGCGGATTGTCTCGGCGCCTGCCATACCTACGCCGAGTCCTGTGCTTCTTTAGGGCTGCAGCTAAGTTATTAATCGGGCCGTCGAGCCTCAAAACGCCGGTGAATAGGAGGGGACCCTGTTCCGGTGGGATGACGAAGTCCGCGTCGGTAGTCTCGCCTGGCTTCAGGGCACCGAAACTGTGTCTAACTCGAACCCCAAGCCGAGCCCCAAAGTGGGTGTATCCTTTCCCGGATCTAGCTCGGAAGATCGGGAGGGATCGGTGCCACAAGGCTGCCCGTCCGTGATCGGCGTTGATGCTTTGCACAAAGGTCGAGTGGTGAAATATTGGGCATCCAGGCTAAGCGGAAAGGAGACGTGCGTGCAGGAACCGGAGAAGTGCAAGTCGAAACGGGGGATGCTTGGTGAATTGAAGCGAGTAGTTGATGTTACCGTAGTGCTGGGACGCTAGGATCGAATTAGTCGGGGGAAAATAAAGGGTGCAATTCCCCGCTGTGCTGTATGTCTCACCGGGATAGGAAATGTTACGCAGGTCACAAGGCTGGCGGAAAAGGATGCCGTGGGTGCCCAACAGATAGAGGACCGGGGTAGGTACGGAACATACAGGTAAAGAAGACGGGATTTGAGGTGTGTTGCAGTACGGGAGTTGAGGTGTCTCCCACTCAGGTTCTTTTGCAATATTGAAGTGTGGGATTTCGGGTTTTCCAAATCGGTTGCCTCCACAAGTAGTAGGTAGGTACCTGCCTGCCTGGGTTGGTTAAAGGTGGCTTTTTAAGGCTTTCAAGTTGGCGTAGGTGCCGGTATTCGAGATGAAATCAAGGTGACACCATAAAAGTGTAAGGTACCTACCGGAAGTACCTTACAGAAACCCGTTAGGGAAGTGCTCTCATCCCGGGACTCGGCCGACAAACTGCTTTGTGGGGCTCGCCGACCCGTGGACCCATTGTGTTGTCGAAGATCTTGCCGCGGGGCAGCTGTTGCCCCTCCTGACGTCACATAAACGAGCAAGCCCGGGGGTACAGTGTTTTTCTTTCGAAACCGCAGGGCGATACGTTGATAAAACACATTGAATCAATTTCCGGATACCTTACCCGACCGATCTAGTGTTTAATGACCTTTGCGGGCAGCCTTCCGATAGCTATTCCTATATGGGCGGGGACAGCGAAGGTGCATAGAACTGCAGTGTTTGAGAGCTCCCCGAAACGACTTGTGAGGTAGCCACCTGCGCATAACAAAGAGAGAGAGGGCGCGCAAACATGCTCCGTGTCACCTTGAGAGAACTCACCTACTTAAACCCCTGCGGACTTTTCCGAACGAGCTCTATACCCAAATAGATATCACCCCTCTCGTAACTTAGAGTTAGGTAGCCAGGGGGAAGCTTCTCAGCACCACTCGACGCCGCCGTTCGCGATAAGCAACGCCAAGAAGCAACGGCAGGATACTGACTTGTAACCCGTGTGCTCCTTCGTTTGATCTGCTTCCCCATATGCCAATCGAGCCGAGCAGAGGGAGGGTGGGCACGTTTGTGTGGGACAAGACCTAACGGCTGCAGCACGACATCGACCCCGAGGTCAACTGATTTTCGAGTGCATGAGGAGACTTCCCCGCCGCCTCACCGGTTAATGGTTGCTGACGCTTTTTCTTTATCGAGCTGCAATGCAACGGGCTGCACGTTCGAGGCGGCTGCTACTGTGTGTACCAAGCCCGTGTTGGAGAAGGCAACCGGCCGGGGAAAAAGGAAAGCTAGCAAGTCTCGGGCCGGGATCGAGGCCGGCTGAGAAAGGGGTGTTGCGTTAAATATAACTGCGGCTCCCAAAGCGGAGGGGTGCAGTGGTGGTGGTGAGAAGTCGAACGATCTGGGCGCTGTCGCATCTGCGGGGCAGGGCTAGCTGCGGGTTAGACTTTCCGGAATGGAGGGCTCACACCAGTTATTTCAGATGGCAGCTCCTTTAACGGGAAAGATACCTTGGTACCCGCAGGCACAAGCCAAGGCAGCAGATCGCCGATAGCTGCCTGCCCGAATTGGTTGAGCATCGGCTAGCCCGTCGTTCGCTGCCTCATCCGAAGTTGCCGCATATCTGAAATCCGGGCCGCACAAATTACCAGACAAGGCATGCTCTGGCGTATGTACCTTCGAGCAGTTGTTGAAGTTTGGTATCCTGGTGAGCCTGAGGCTGACACACATTCCTCGGCGGGCTTCCAGAGTGTTCCATTTCGAGGTGATCGGAAAGATAAATGCCCATGTCCCCATCATGCAGGTGCAATTTTTCAGATTATCAGAAGCGAGTTATTGAAATCCCCCCCAAGACCCTCTCGTCCTCGCAACCTACACTACCTTACCCAAGATACTACCCCACGTCATCCGTCCCCTTGCTGCAGTGGAGGCCGAGGCAACAACAGCCGACACCGTTTCTTGGGCTGGCCTAGGCCCAATCAACAGGATTTAGAAAGCAAACACCCCTGCGCTGCTTGAGAGCTAGCGGGTCGCTTCGGTTTCCTCTGGGCCTACCACGACGCCGAGAGTCCTTCCACACATCATCTGAACCTGGAACCCCTCGTCTCTCAGACCTCGAAAAGAGTGACGCCTTGACTGTCACGAGCCTGCTGCTAGTCCGTGCAAAGGGCAAATAGGGCGCGGCTGAACGCCGTTTCCTTTGTTTTCCTTCCTCTTCTTTCTCCTTACCTTCCCATCACACCACTCACTCCCCTGACGCCGACGGCACCAACTCGACCTCGCCCTTCTCTTTCGAGCCCCCCCTATCTACATCTGCCACAATGTAAGTTGGGTTTAGGGCGTCGATTCCCCGCTCGTTGACTGCATATTTACTCGCCGACTCTAGGCGCATCACACTCTCCATCACCAACTCGGAGCCACAGGGCGATGACCAGGAACTGCTCTCCCTGGAGGTCTACCCGGAGATGACAATTGAGACTCTGCGTAGCTCCATCCAGGCCGAGACCACCCACCACCCCAGCGCCCAGCATCTCTACCACAACGGGCAGCTCGTCCACGACAATGCCAAGACTTTGGGCGAGCTCGGCGTGACCGACGGCGACATGCTCGCCCTCCACATCCGCGACATGCGGGGCAGCACAACAACCCCGGCGGCCGCCAGGGCGGCCCCGCAGAGTGCAGCTCGGCCTGCAGCGCGGCCACCCCCAGCGCAGGACCCCGAGGTGATTCGGCTGCAGATTCTCGGAGACCCGAACCTGAGGGGCGAGCTTGGTAGATCGAGGCCCGACTTGGTAGCTGCGCTAGAGGATCCGCAAAGGTTCGCGCGTCTCTTCGCCGATAGTCTAGACAGGGAACGAAGGGAGCGTAACGAGCGCCAGCGTCAGATCCAGCTGCTCAATGCGGATCCATTTGATATCGACGCGCAGGCGAGGATCGAGGAGATCATTCGTCAAGAGCGCGTCATGGAGAACCTGCAGAATGCCATGGAGCACAACCCGGAAGGTGATACCGTGACCTAGTACAACCTGGTCACTCAGAACCCGCGCTAACTGCCAGTGATTAGTTTTCGGCACCGTTCACATGCTCTATCTCGAAGTGGAAGTCAATGGGTACAAGGTCAAGGCTCTGGTCGACTCGGGTGCGCAGGCGACTATCATGAGCCCGCAGTGTGCTGAGGCCTGCGGCATAATGCGCCTCGTCGACAAGCGCTTTTCGGGCATCGCCCGCGGCGTGGGGACAGCCAATATTATCGGCCGCGTGCACTCGGCACAGATCAAGATTGGCCCCCTCTTCCTGCCATGCAGCTTTACCGTCATGGAGGGCAAGCAAGTGGAAATGCTGTTGGGGCTCGACATGTTGAAGCGATATCAGGCGAGCATCGATCTTGCAAAGGACAAGCTCATCATCCAGGGCGTCGAGGTGCCATTCCTGGGGCCAGCCGACATTCCGGTCGAAACTGAGGAAGCGGTTGAACGGGAGCCCACCGTCCCAGGCCCCGCGGGGACGACGATCGGCCAACGGTCTGGTGCTGTGCATGCGCCCAGCGGACAGAGCGGAGCCGCGCCGGCTCAACGGCCCCAGCCGGGTGCTACTCCCGCCCCCGCCGCCGTTGCCGCCACCCCCAGCAGCCAACCCAGGGCACCGGCAGCACCTTCGTTCCCAAGGGAACATATCGACCAGCTCGTGGCGCTTGGGGCGTCTGAGCAGCGGGCGATCCAGGCGTTGGAGGCGACCGGAGGGAACGTCGAGTATGCCGCGAGCTTGATTTTCCAGGACTGATAATGCCTGGTTCTGTCTCCTGGCTGGCTGGCTTTGCCTTTGGTTACAGCCTGAAACGACGTTAACGGGTTATGAATTTGGCTTCCTTGGCGGGAATTGGGATATACGGGGACGGTTCTAGGCGCACATATCAACATCTCCGCATGGTTTCGCCAGGCCATGCGTCGAGTTTGCTTTGGGCTATTTTGTTGCGCTTGAGAGCTTATCTCTGGGACACAACCGAGGGCGGACGGGAACAAAAATCGGTACGGTGTGCAAAGGGCAATTTTGTCTTTCTAGAGGGCACCTAGCACCGGAGAGCGCATAGCTTAGAATCGACCGGAACATTTGCTTCGCAGTACATGTCCCCCATTACTTCCCGGTTTTATTTATCCTCTCTTTCAAGAATGAATGCCATTTTCCACCCCAACCCCCCTCTCGCACAAGTCGGGGTGACTACCGAATCTTATAAACACACGGTTTCAGAACCGCCGCCTCGTTGATATCCTCATCCCCATCCCCATCCCTATCCATGAACTTCTTTTTTGGCACCTGCACCGTCCGCCCCTTGCCATCCGTCCACTTACGCTCCCCCTGCGAGGCCGCCTTCTCCTCGGCCCCCGGCGCGGCGCACTTGCCGCGGAGCGCGGGCGCCGCCTTGACAAAGTGCATGCGCACAAACATGCGGTTGCTCATGTCGACGGCGCCCTCGCCTAGGTCGCGGCTCAGCAGGAACCCGCGCTTCCGGAGCGCCTCCACAAACGCCCCGATGTCAGTCTCTTGCTGCTGCTGTTGCTGCTTGGTGCGGGCCTCGACCCCGTCCACCTGCACGGCGAGCTCGGCCAGGTGCGACGCCTCCTCCTCCTCGGCGGCGGCCGCCTTGGCCTGCTTGGTAGCGGCGACAGACGGCTTCTTGCGGTTGCCGACGCTGTGCGCGACGACCTTGGACTTGTTGCGCGAGGCCGCCGCCGCCGGGTTGGTGAAGCGGCTCTTGATCTCGGCCACCCACAGCTCGCCGCGCCAGCGCAGGATGCGGTAGGCTTCTTCGACGAAGGAGAGCCAGTTGGTGCCCATGAGCGCGAGGCAGAAGATGGCCACGTCGACTGAGTTGTCGGCGAGGGGGAGGTTGGCGATGTCGGCGCGGGTCACAAGCGCGGAGCCGCCTGTCTGGAGGTCGAAGCTGCGGATGTCGAGGTGCAGTTTCCGGGCGAACGGCTGGAGAGCTGTGGCGAGCTTGGCGTCGCCGCAGCCGAGGTCGGCGACGGTGCAGGTTTTGGTGCTGTGCATTTTGGGCAGGGGAAGTTGGGCGGCGGTGACGGGGCCGTTGGGGTTACGAGGCTGGAAGCGGACTTTGGCGCGGGCTTTGAGATCTGCGATGTATCCGTCGACGGGATTTTCAGGCCACACGTCGACTTGTCGGCGGAAGCCCTCGTGGTACTCGGTGAACATCTCTGGAGAGTCCTGGAAGAGCTGGAAGGCTTCGGCGGAGGGGCGGGTGTAGAGGGTTTCATTAAGGTGGCGGAAGCGGGCTGAGACAAGCTTCTCGCGCATTGAGGCTTGAAGGGGGGTGAGCTTCGGGGCGGCGGAAGCGGGAGGTGCTGACGGAGGAGCCGCTACATCGGATTTGGCTTTCTTGTCGATGGGCTTGGTATCATCCTTGTTATCGCCGCCTGTTTTTTGCTTCTTCTTGTCGGCCTTCCCCTTCACCTCCTGGGTAGCATCCTCCTCGTCGTCGATGCCATTCCATTTATCTCCCGCCTCTTCCGCAGATTGGGCCGTTGCTGTGAGCGAGCTCCGCTTCTCCTTCTTGTCCTTCTTTTTCTGTTTCTTGTCGGACTTATCGCTGGATTCGTTCTGCTGCTCTTTGCTTCCTAATTGAATTGTGCTGTTCCCGTCCTCAGGACCGTCTGACACAGTAGCATCGTGCTCCTTTTTTTGGCGCTTGTTGTCCTTTCTCGGTTGTGTCTTGTTCGCCCCTGATACTGATGGCCCCTTGTGCTCAATGACTTTCTCCCACAGGTCGGCCAAGTTTTCCGCCGTCACATTCCCCGTCTGTCCTGGTCTCTTGCGCTTCTTCGCAGGCTTCGGCTTCGGGGTGGCAGTTGAAGGTGCAGATGGGGCTGGAACCCCCGTTTCGGACTTGAGTTTCTCGGCCGAAATACTGAGGCCCTTTACAGGAAACATTGTGACCGACCACAGATACTTTGTAGGAATTGGCACTATTTTACTGCTCAAGATGAGGTGGTGGCTGCTGGAGTTTGGACTTGATCAGAAAAATTTAGTGGGGCAATGGACCGAGCCCAGGCCAAGGAATCCCCAGAGCCAGCCGATAACGTGGGTGGTGGGTCTGATGTAATCCGTGCACCAAAGCTTGGCCGGCTTATCATGGAAGTTATCTCATCGTACCTCTACATAGTTACAACAATAATGTGTCGGCAGTATGGAGGCTACTGAGCTCGCCGCGAACTGTAGTGTGATTGCTAACTGGAGAATTCCCAAGACTCCCCAAAACCTACGAGTGACTACCTATATAACTACCATTTGTCTATCCTAAGGTAATCAAAGTGCTCACAATCATTGAGCATTCTGGACTCTTGCTCATTTCCTTGGTGTGGTCCTGACTGTGGAGAAGGAAGCTATCAGCTTGAACATATTGCTGGGCTTATTTAAACGTACAGTGGGAGAAGAACTTTAATTGATGATAAGTTCGACTAGATGAAATAACTAACTCTAGTAAATACAATAGAAGAGTTTTGCCAGGATGCGTCCTACATTGTTACTACCAACAACGTGTGGTGGCGGATGACCAGCTGGCTGCCTAGGTAGATGATGCTGATGTCGGAAGCACTTGTGCTAGTGTTACGAGCTGGTGGCCTGGAATGGCAAAGTATGTGCTGGACATAACTACTACCTTACCTACCTCGCTCACATTGGTTGTGCGCCCAACCCTACCTACCTACTCACCCGGGCTGGGTTCTGTGGATGCCATTTCACTCAGTATTTACCGAGGTTCTCAAGCTGTGGGGGTTCTCCGAAGACTCCTGTCCTTGTCTATCGGTCCCTTCCCGGCGTGAGCATCGAATTTAGTCAAGAGAAGAGTAAATATTTCGTCAAGGGTTCGGACTTCCCGACGTCGCTGCCATGGCGGCCAGTAAAAAGTCTGCAACATGCCGGCATGAGTCCAGCTCACAGCAACCCGAAATTGGGCTGCCTCGGCTACTTCCTGAGTGAATGAAGCATAGAATGTGTGACAGACCTTCCATGGATGGCCAACCCGGGCAGACTGGGGAAAGTGCAGGCTCGTGGCTCAGTCAAGGAAGGAACCCCACCATTTCCTCTTCCTGAGTTTGCACATTTTCAGCTCACCACCCAGTTCCGCATCCCGCCACCAATGTGCAGCCGTCCAATGTTCGTTTAGGTGACTAGGACTTATACTCAGCGTTTTGGTTCGATGGATGTTTACAGTTTCGCGGGAGAGTGGTGTTCCGGCTCTTGTCTCACCGTTACTGCTACCCACCCTTGCCACCCACAGAATGCTGTTACCCACCCACTGTTCGCCGCTACCTTACCCACTGCCTACTTCTGCACCACTGGTCCTACCCCGGTCCTCGGAATGCCCATACTGTTTGTGCAGCCGGGGGACCGATGACACGCTACGGATGCAGTCCGCCTCGCGTGCCGCGCAACGGCAGCTGCAGGAGAGCCGAGAAAGCTTCCATCCCGTCACTTCACGACACGCGAGATGGCCTCTTTCCGTTTTGGTGACTTGGTGAGGCTTCAGCGGGGTTCAGCTTTCCCCTCACAGCGGCCCCTGTCGCACATC